GTTTGCCCGACTGCCTGTGGGTCTAGAGAAAGCTGAGAAGGATCGCTCCCAGTCTATCTCTGGTGGAAGCCATGTGGTAGAACAGAACGATCGGGAGCTGCCCACAAGTGTCTGCAGGAGGTGGTCAAAAAAGTCAAGATGGCAGCTGTGACAGTGTGATTGAAGCCCTGCCCCTTTCTGTGCATCACACACACAGTGCATGTAAAAAGGGGCAGGGCTTTGAACATGGGCCACAGCCACCATCTTATTGATACCTTGTCCTGTGGATGCTCCTGGAGCTGGCTAACCTGTTTTTCAGCAGCAGCAGCAGCAGCAAAGCAACTGCAACATCTTGCTAGATGAACAGATACTAAACAGAACAGTATTGAACACAATTTTCCCACAGAAAACAAAAACAAAGAAAAAAAGGTATAAGGCAAGTCATGATGATTATGACAGCGCAGAAGCTGTCCACAATCAGAATCTACATTATTAATCCGATAAGTAGCATTTAATGTCACCAACTGGGACAGTCCCATTTCCATTATCCTCCAAACAGCAGGATCAGTGCATTGAGACAATGAGATCTCTTCGCCAAAGAAATGTTGAATGTGACAAATCGCAGTCTTGCCTCCTTCGTGTGGTTCCACAGCAACAGTTTTACAAGAATTAAGAAAATGCTAACATTCAATATTAATAAGGGGAGGAAACAGTGTTGCAAAGGGAGGGGGTCATTTGCCAAGTTTTCAAATATGCCCATATGGTGACAATCGCTAAGGCAGCTTTCTTCTCAACTCAGTGCCTTTCCAGTATGTTGGACTACAAAATCCATCATATCCAGCCAGCTGGGTGGGGGAGCTGCAGTTGAATTAGAGGATGCTGGGATGGGGTAGCGCAAAGATAACTAGACTACTGTAGTAGGAAGAAAGCTATGCACAACACTGATAAGAGCAGCAATGACTGAACGAACCTACATATCTACAAAACAATTATATAATACGCACACCCAAAGGCAGACAGGAGCAATGACAATCACAGGCTTACCTTTACAGAAATACACACACACCACCTGCAGACCTGCACACAGACACAGAAGCTAATTACGACCAAGTTCTATCCCGCATTTTCACACTCAGATGCGTCTTTCCAATTGAATGAAAATCAATCAATGAACATCGGCATACAGACCAACCTATCAGTTCAAAGAAAAGAATTCGACTCTCCCTACACGTCCCAAAGCATAGGGAGACTTTGGCTCTTCCGAAGCCAAAAAAGGCAACCTGTCGTGTTATACAGAGTTCTACAGAGTTCGGTCTCCGCAAGCTCACAGATAGCCAGTCTATTCACAGAAATAATATGTACCCAGGCGTCAGCAGGAAGAAGGGGGCCACGGTCAGCTGTCATCACCAGGTACAGAATCCAGGACAGATTTTGTTGTATCAACTCAAAAGCAGCAAACGTTTCAGGCACAGGCAATCTACTGCTCTTCTAATTCACACGCGCACACACACACACACTCTATTCCCCATAATCTCTGCATTGGCCATGTGGGCAGGGACTTCTGGGAGCATCATTTTAAAAATAGAAAGCAGCAGGGGGTTGCCTACCCCCTGCTCCAACCTAGTGCTCACTTAAGCAGATGCCCACCTTCCAAGCACAGGGTACAGTCACACCATTGTGCAGAGCCCAGGGCGGGCAAGCAGGCAGGCAGGCAGGGAGGGCGGGCAAGCAGGCAGGCAGGCAGGGAGGGCGGGCATCAAGGAAGAGCAGAACCACCACTAAGCCAAAGGGGCAACTGCACAAGAAGCCACAACCCCAACCCTGGGCTCCTGCAACCATAAGTCCCGCCGTTGCAGTCGGGCTGTTTCCAGTCAAGATTTAGGAGAAACGGTCATGAAAACAGAGATCGCCCTCGCCGGGCATTACCAACTCAGCTTTAAGAAGGGGCAGACGGGCCCGTCCACCACCAGCCCTCCGAATGGCCTGTCAGGTGGACAGGCGTCCTGCCGCCAAGGGGACCAACTCTGCAGGGCTGCCTGTCCCACCACGCATAGAAGCAGCTGCGGACGACCCGACCGAACCCAACCCAGACCCCCGGACCCTCGCCCAGAAGGGCGCAGCTGCACGCTCCCCTCCGCAACACGCGGGCAGCATCGGCAGGGGGCAGGCCG